CAAATATGGCAAAACCATTTTGCATGTTACAACAAGCAAAATCTACTTTTTCCTGTTTTAACATGCAGTAGTGAAAAGTTTTCTGTGCTTGAGACTTGTAAACAATAGACTTTGAAGATACACTGAACAGTTATTTTGTCTTCACTGATACTTAATTAATATACTGATTTATATTTACATATAAAAATATTTTTTGTAAAGAAATTCAAATTAATAAAAATGTTTTTATAAAATATCTTTTACATTTATATTAGCATTTAAAATAATTAAAATCTAAAAACAATTTAAAACACAAAATAAAACAAAATTGATAATCTTACAGATTATATTATTAACATTTTTACCTTTTTATTTTTTAAATTTTATAAAAGTCTAAGTTTTAGAAGTGAAATATAAATTAAATGTTATAAACTATAGTTTATTTAAAAATTTGCACTTAATTCATGTCTTCTAAAATATAGGCAGGTTTAACAATGACATCAAGACTTAAGGTACTCAGATATAAGGAGGAATACAAATCTAACTCATGAATAGAATTATAATAGCAGTGAACATATTTTCTTGAAAAAATGCTGAAAAGTTGGGTTAGTTTTTATTTCCACTTACAATGTGAGGTAACATCAATAAATAATTGAATAAAGATTTAAAAAACTTAAAATCTGTAATTTAAATGACTGCCTATATCATTTTTAACAATGTATATAGAGAAAAAAACCTATTATATGGTCTAAGATAGAATGGTCAAATATTTAATAAATTATCATTTATATATTCACAAGTTTCAATGAAAAATTGGAAAAAATCTCAAAGCCTACAATTATTTTCAATCAATTTCAAGACTACAATTTTGTAGTTATTTATCTGTTTAATTGCTTTTGGCTTTTGCTTTTAGGTAAATACAGTAGACCCCCCTATAACACGGATTCATATAATGCGGATTCATATATCGTGGCGAAAAAATTGCGACTGTATTCGCATAAAGACACTAAAAGAGACTCGTAAAATGTGGTAAAACATCATTGCCAACTTGTGTTACGACAGGATTGGTCAAATCTGGACCAATAGTGGACGAGCAGCCAAACTACTTACACGCTACGGAGAGTTTAGGCGGATAAGTTTAGTTTACTATTGTCTGTATTGTAGAGCAAAGTATTCTTTGCATTTTTGCAATAATTTTTGTGAACCGTGTATTCGCATTTTTTACCAGATGCTCACCCTCGTGTTTAAAAACAAAAGTATTTTATCTGAGTCGTTTCAATCATTCTTGAGTAATGTCAAGAGTAACAATGAATAGCAATAGGAAAAGCAAAGCTTTTGAATTGAATTCCAAATTGAAATTCCAAAATCACACGAAAATCCAATATAAGTTTTAATCCATTCCCACATGAAAACAGATGGTTATTCAGAGAAACTCTTAAGTGTAATCGATGGAGAGTGGATTCAACTGTTAAGAATTGACAAAAATACGTTCCTGATTGTCCAGCTTTACATGAATAAATTATGTTGTTGATTTTACAAGACTTTTCCTTAAAATTTAAAATGCTAGTAATTTTTGAAGGACAATGTGTGCATTTACATGCATTTGATATTTTATTTGTGATTAAACAAAATAAAATTAGAATTGTATTAATAAATCTAATTTTCTTTATTTTGATCTTTAAAGTCACACCTCATCCTATATGCAAGATCATCTTATATATGAGTAAATATGGTATTTGTTTATTTTATTTTTATTAGTATTATTTTTCCATACTAATTTGTCTCTATGTGCATGTTATTATTGTACTTATGTTAGTTTAAGTTTATTTAATGTTATATTCCAAAAAACATTTTCCATTTTAAATATGTAATGTTCCTTTTTTCAAAACTGAATTGTTCTAAAACTGTTCTTTACCTGAAAATGACATTGATAAAAATGTTGAAAGTGCTTGTGTTAATAAAAAGTGTTTTAATGCCAATAGACAGTAGTTTTTAGTATTTTAATGGATATTATCTTGGCATGGTAATCTAATCATTTTAAGCTTAAAGAGGTTTCAAGTTTCTAAGCAGTTAATCTTTTTATTACAGCGAGCATGTATGAGCCTTTTTATAGGTTGGTGGGTGATTTTAAAACATACTAATAGCATTATCTGGTGTGCCATTAGACCACAACTGGTAATCATTTACATACCTGTCTGAGCTATATGTTGAGTTTTACAGTAATTAGACAATTCTGAGTGCAAAACTTTAATCAGTGAGTATAATATAAAGGACATAAAACAGTGCATGCAAAAATATTTTAAATTTTAAATATGCAAACAAATGATTTAATATATTCAATCATTAAAACATCAACAGTATTTAAAACAATATTGCACAAATAGAAAATGCAGCTAAACTAATCATGACTCTAAACAGTAAAATCTTTAATAATAAGTTAAAAAGACATTAAAATTATTAAAATGTAAATATGGATATTTATTACATATCATGTGCTAAAAATAATAAATTGTAAATACTATTTTTCAGATGATAATAAATTAGAAATTAAAATAATGAAATAAAATTAACTCAAATTAGTTTCATCGATTTTAATGTTAAAACAACTGCATTCCTGTAAAAGTTAAAATTCACATAAATTAAAAACTGTTGTAAGCACAGGAAAATAGATGCCTATATATAATATGGCCATCCATTGTTTTTTGATACATTTGCCCATTTCTTTCATGTACACTCTAGAATTGTTAATATAATTCATTTAGAATACTGCAGAGTACAAAGCAATCAGATATGTTTGCACTCTCATTAATTTTTTACTTTGTTGCCAAGTTTTATTTTAGTTCACTGCTATTGTTTTATATATCGATTTTAGATCATAAATTATAATTGTATATAAAAATCATAATTTTTGTTGCTTAGAGATATCAGAAGTTATTGTCTAACTCAAATTGCTTATAGCAGTTACTGAGGCGCTAGCACCTACAGTCGCCACTAGAGGGCCTCCCGTCGATGACGTGAGCGTTACGTCAGATCACCGCGCTTATTCGACCTGCTACGACACAGTTCAGGTGTGTTCGACAAGAGCTCCGCTACTTACGACTAAACAAAGGATTGTAGTGCCAATCGACCATCGTCCACGTTGGTGCCTACATTAGTGACCCGAACGCCTACATTGGTGAGCCGAACATTAAAACTCATCGAATTTACAAATTTCGCCTGGAGAACAGAAATATTTTACCAGGTACGTGAAAACAATGAGTCAACCCGTGGTCGGCCACGTGGCCGTCAAGCCACCGCCATTTTGGACCGAGAGCCCAGCACTTTGGTTCGCCCAGTTGGAGAGCCAATTCGTCCTCGCGAACATATCCAACGATGAAACGAAATACAGCCATGTAGTCGCGAGTTTATCGGAACGTATGGCTACCGAAGTCCAGGACATTTTGGCCGCTCCTCCGAATACCGACAAATACAAAGCGATTAAACGGGCACTGATCGACCGCTTGTCCCAGTCCGAAGCCCAACGTCTCGAAAAGCTTCTACGCACCGAAGAGCTCGGCGACCGCACGCCATCGCAATTCCTTCGACGCTTAAGAACTCTCGCAGGTCATACGGTTACGGAGGACCTACTCAGAAGCATTTGGTTGTCCCGTCTTCCCACCGATATGCAGAAGATACTAACTGTATCCGAGGGCACACTCGAATCTCTCGCTAAGATCGCCGACCGCCTTAGCGAATTGTACCCCTCGACATCGAATATCTCCGCCACGTCTACGGCCTCTGCCACGGCCGATCCCAGAATCGCCGCGCTCGAAGTGCAAATCTCCGAACTCTCAAAACAAATTTCCGAGATGTCACGACAATATGGCCGTTCTCCACCTCGCCGCCGTTCCTCGAGCCGTGGAAGACTCGGTCGACGCTCCCCACCTAACACCTTCCCGAACAATATCTGCTGGTACCACGCAAAATT